TCTCAAACCGGTGAGAGGAAGATGCGGTGAGATACCAAAGCTTATGTCCCATGTCATATGTCACTCCTGAATTATAGATAGACACCCTATATCTGTACATATTTCGCGAGCTGCAATAGACTTTCCAAAGATGGGATTATAAATGAGATTGAATCCAGCAGCTTTCTGTGCTCCAGTTCCCAAAGAAACAACCAGGCACATTATTCAATAATCTTCTCTCAGTCTCAACTACAATCATGTCAACTGCTCGCCCTGCCTCCATTTCCTCAGCACAGCCTCTTCTTGCGCCCGACACCACAATGGGGGCCAAGTATTACAGTTCTCTCGCTCTGAACTTGTACGATCTATGGGTCCTCAAGATAAGCAACTCCTTTGCGTGGGGTTGTCCTACAGCCTCGGTTCTTCAACCATACTTTACAGGGAATCTTGGTCGAAAGCACATGGACGTGGGTGTTGGGACTGGATATTTTCCTGCTACCGCCCTTGAGCAATTAGGTCAGGATGGATCGCCACAGTCAATCACGCTCGTGGACCTCAACGAGAACAGTTTGGAGCTAGCCAAGAAGAGAATTGGCCGTTCAGGTATCGCTCAAGCCATCTTAGCTGATGCACTTCAGCCTCTGCCTGGCAATCTGCCCAGTTTTGACTCTATCTCCATCTTCTATCTACTTCATTGCCTCCCAGGGCCTACGCAGCACAAAGCAAGCATTTTCAAGAATCTCAAGGCCTATCTCAACGATGGCGGAGTTCTCTTTGGTGCGACTGTACTCGGGAAAGGAGTTGAGCATAATCTATTTGGGGAACTGATTATGACTCTATACAATTGGGCTGGCATATTTGATAATCGTCTTGACAGCCAGGAAGCATTTGTTGGGGTCTTGAAAGAGAACTTTGCCCGGGTGGAATCGGAAGTTGTCGGCCGAGTTCTGCTTTTCAGAGCGTGGCAACCTCTCTAAGCATTGTATTATTAGCTGACTGTTTCGTTTATTATTCTTTAGTCAACAATTAATAACAAACGTCACTCATGACTGTTATTTTTGCACTCACCTCACTTTTTTACATTCTCGTGCGTACTCGGCAGGATTCCATGCGAGACAACATCCTAATTGTTGATGCATCAATTTCAAGTGCATTGTGAGGCCCAGGCTGGTGGTGAAATCTGACTGTATTTGGGGTCACATCATCTACAGCCACCGAAAACTAGGCCACCGAAGTGCATTGGCTAGATTGGTCCTGATGATCCCCCACCACACCACAACCAATTATGTATGTAAGAATCGCCTCTTGTCACTTAGCTTCCGCGGATGTCTATTCTAGTCCCCGTCGCTTCGGGCCGCTCGGCTTCCAAACTAGCTGACGCGTTCGTAATGCTTTCACCGACTGGAGTAAGCTGCATATCATAATATGCAGTTCAGAACCAATCACGACAATAACCTCATTCTGCAGGAATTCCTCACGAAGCTGTTGACTCACCTATTCTTATGTCCGTCAGAACCGCGAGCAAGCATAATTAAGTAAGGATTTAGTGAGACTAAGGGCTTGGCCGGCAACGGCCGGCAACGCAGAGTGGACGGCAGACATACAACTCTCCTTAATATTATTAGGTGATAAGAGAAAAGAATAGAATTGACATGTAAGCAAAAGCTACCGTATCGACTGAGTAAATTCGGTGCGCCCTGTGGATACCACTGTGGATATAGCTACACACTAGCTAATTAAAGTTCCGATTTATCCGCTTGGATATAACGTAGGTATAGAGGGTAAACGTCGCTAACTTAAGCCACCCTCTTTACCATTTTAACCACTTGGAGCTGCAGCTGGCAAGCGTTATATCCACAGCGGTATTTACAGGGCGCACCGAACTTGCTCAGTCAATACGGTATTGCAACAGACTCTCAGTCTCTCCTGGTTCCGAGAACAAGGCACCTGAAAACAAAAGCTAGTGTCACCACTCAATCTCAGTGCAACTCTCTTTATCTTATTATGTAGCTAAGCTAATTTTAAGAGCTAGTTAAAGATAGTATCGGATAAGCATACTACACTAATCCTAAGTCCCTCATTGACTTTCCACTAATTTATCTCGGATAAATCAGATGCCGTCAAGTCTTCACAGACTTGAGCTTAGCCATGACCCGAAGATTTCCACGGTTCCTGACAATGGCACGGTCCAGCCAAATCATGTCTTCATGGGTTCCTGGGATAAGACTCAAGTCAAACCGGGTAAAGACATTGGCAAGCATCAAGTGCATCTCCGTATATGCCAGGCTAGAGTTGAAGAACAAGAATTAGCAGATGAAAGGTAGAGTTAGATTGCACTCACTTCATTCCCAGGCAATTTCGCGACCCCTTGGAGAAAGTCAACAACCAATGATCAAGCTGCTTGCCCTCTTCACCAATCCACCGCTCTGGTCTGAACTCATTGGGAGCCTCGAAGATTTCAGGATCATTGTGAATCATCATGTGGCTCATTCCAACCACATATCCCTCAGGAATGTAGTCGTCGATTGAGGGGATATAGAGACCACCTCTAGGGACCACTCTGGTAAGTCTTCCAGGTACTCCATGGGCATATCGCAAAGTTTCCTTTACAAACCCAGTCTATGGCATGATTAGAAAGTAAGTAAGAGACAGCATTCAAATATCGACTTACAAAGTAGGGAAGAGACTCAATCTGTTGGATGGGCAATCTATTAGACTCAGTCCTTTGAACTGTAGCCAATTCTGCCATTATCTTGGCCTGAACTTCAGGAACAGTCATGAAGTAGTAGGTGCCGTAGGCAAGCATGGTTGCAGTTGTCTCAGTCCCCGCCATGAGGAGGCCGACACTTTCATCTGCAATTTGCTGAGCAGCCATTTTTGGAGCTTGTTTGCGACGAGACGTCTCCGCCTCATTTTCTTTGCTATTGTTACCAGCTAGCAGGCGGTCAAAGATGGTCTCCTCGCCGAGGTCTTTTGGCTTTCCGTCAGAATGCTCATGCCTCCTCACTGCATCTTGGGCAAGGCCCTCGCAGAACTATGATCGGTCAGTACGATGCGGCTTTCTTCTAATGAAAGATATTTTACTTACCCATACAATCATCTGATAGCCTTCATTGGCAAAGGCAGCGAGCCTTCGAGGCAACGCTGAAACGATTTTGTGGATGAAACCGAAATGAATCAGAACCCAAATACTGTTGGTAAAGGAGCGTAGCTGCTCTACACGCTCCCGTGAGAAGTTAGGTTGACTGATCAGGTCAATGCTTTTTCCAAACGTAAAGTGAGAGATAACATCAGCCTAGGAATTGTTAGCGAGACTCCACGACAAGCAACATATATCGGATAATGGTTATGAATACTTACGGTAAAACAATAATAAGCATCTTGAATGGGTAAAGGTTCCTTTCTCTCGATATAAGGCATCGCGTAGGACATAACCTTTTCAAGTTCCTCATACATCAAATCCTCAAGTAACAGAATTCTACGCTTGGAAAAGGATGGGTTGAGAGTTTCACGTCTCTTCTTGTGCTCGGAAATATCAAACAGCATGCTGATTGCATTGGGAACTCCAAGGGTGTAGGCAATTGGATCCTTAGTGAATCTGGTATTTTGCTTGTATATGCTACCAACGTCAGACCAAACGTCTAAGAGGACTTGAAGTTTCAATGACTGGCACCTACTGATGGAAGACAGAGGCATCCTTGATGTGGACTTCGCCTGGGTTGATGCGAACGACAGGTCCTAATTCTTAGCTCTATTCGTGCTTCTCAAGCGAGATAGATAGGTACTCACCGTATTTCTGATGCAAAGCAGGCAACCGCTCCAACATTCTCCCACTCAAAAAGGCCTCATAGTACGTTTGATATAACCAACTGGTTCGACAGAGAAAAGGGCCGGGATATTTAGCCAATGGGTGGAAGGTGAGTCGATAGATGACAACACCTGTCCAGTAAGTGAGATAGCAAGTGACATAGATCAATCCAAAGAGAACAAGGCGATCTTTGGTTGTCTCTGGAGAGAGATCGTGGATACGACTAAGAATTGACATGGCGCTGGAGTATGTGTGTTTGTCTTGAAGATGGAGTGATGATAGTGCTTGGAGAATCACAGAGTTTAAGCATGAGAGGAAGTAAGTTTTCTGTATTGAAGAAGGGGAACAGGAACTATCTGTCGACAGACGAACTGAACGAACTGATAATGATATTACGTCACCACGATTGACAATTCAACGATGCTTAGAATTCTCTCCATCCGCTCGTCAGCACTATTCTGAAATGGAATACCGGTGTGACCAGGAAGTATATCTTGTGAAGCGATAAGCTCCTTTGTCAAAGGATCGAAGTGCATTGAAGAGAGATAACAGTTGGTGTTGAGGCCGGAAGGAACGATACCTGGAGAGAACTATCCCAAATAGGCCCCATTCCACGAAGGAGTGAGAATATCAAGACATGTTGACGCCACGGGGTGATGGCATAATATCGTTTAAAACATTATCTATAAACGAGAAGGATTGATCTACAATGGGGGCTGACGAATCACCCCAGATAGACTGCATGTTCACACTGCCACCTCCAAAGTACACTTTTGAGTTTCCTCCGCATATCACTCCACACATCCTTCGGATAGATACTGAACCAATAATAGTTTGACTTCTCTAACCTCCAATTGTTATCTCTTTCCGCATATCAGAGCCTAAGACTTGCATGAAAACTATTGACGGATAAACATCCTGCTTACGGGGTGCGAACTTGATGCTGCCAAGCGGATACTCAATACGTCTCTTGATCTAGTCGAAACTCGACCAGAAACTCGTCATCCGTGACTAAGGGCTGAGGCAAAAAGAGACATTGGCGATACGCTTTTGTATCACTTTTGAGGCGCAGTGTGATAACCTCTGGCTCTTCTTGTTGCTGGCTTATTTAAGTAGTGTCTTGTATAATAAAATTAATCACTAAACAATGCACTTGGATGTTAACCTTCTGTTCTTTCTATCATAAACTATTACAATCAATCAATCATTCAACATGGTAAATGCTACATCACCAGAGCCCGTGGCCATTGTCGGCATGTGTAAGTAGTCTACCCCTCGGCTTTCCAGCACCGTTATTGACATCTAGACTAGCATGCCGTCTGCCTGGTGGTGTCAACAACCCCAAGGAATTCTGGGAATTCCTTGTAAATGGCGAATCGGGCTACTCAGACTTTCCAGAGGACAGACTGAACATCGATTCGTGGTATCATCCCGAATCTGTCCGCCCAGGGTCAGTCGTGACAAAAGGGGGTTTCTTCCTCAAGCACGACATGAACGAATTCGACAATGAGTTCTTTGGTATCACAGCTGCTGAAGCTAGGCTCATGGACCCAGCTCAGAAGCAACTTATGGAAGTTGTCTTCGAGTCTGCAGAGGCGGCTGGGGTTTCTGCCCAAGAGCTGCGCGGATCCAAGACTGGCGTCTACATCGGCAACTTTGGTCTTGACCAAGCACTCATGGCACTCAAGGACTCCGAGTTCATGAGCCCCTACACATCAACAGGTATCTCAGGCACAATTCTGAGCAATCGAATCAACTACGCCCTCGACCTCAACGGTCCTAGCTTCACAGTAGACACCGCTTGTTCCTCCTCTATCTATGCATTGCATTTAGCCTGTCTTGGACTTCAGAATGGCGATTGTGACGCAGCCTTTGTGGGTGCTGCCAACGCTATTCGGAGTATTGAGGCCCAACTATTCTCAACCAAACTTGGAGCCTTGTCCAAGACATCCCATTGCCATACCTTTGATGCGAGCGCCGATGGGTATGCCAGAGCAGACGGCATTGGTTCCGTGTACATCATGCGCTTATCCGATGCGCTGAAATCTGGAAGACCTATACGTGCCGTCATTCGAGGAACGGCCATTGGTGCTAATGGTCGGGGCGATGGTATGACCAAGCCAGACAGTAAAGGCCAGGCCAGAACCATTCGTATGGCCTACAAGAATGCTGGCATCACGGACTTGACTCAAACGGGGTATTTCGAGTGCCATGGTACTGGAACACCTGTGGGTGATCCTATAGAAACCCATTCGGTGGGAAGTGTGTTTGCTGAGCATAGAGAGCAAGACGATCCTCTTCTCATCGGCTCAGTTAAGACAAACCTGGGTCATTCAGAAGCCACTGCTGGCATCACAGCTTTGATCAAGACCGTACTAGCCATAGAGAATGAGCTTATTCCACCCACAATTGGTATTGAAAACTTCAATCCAAACATCAAGTTCCAAGACTGGAAGCTCAAAGTGGTCAAAGAAGCCACTACCTGGCCTAGCAACATCCCAATCCGACGTGCCTCAGTCAACTCGTTTGGCTATGGCGGTGCCAACGCCCACGTTATTGTGGAGGGCCTGGATTCTGTTATGAAGGAATGGCCCGGTGAGCATAGGGCAGCTCTCACAGATCACTATGGAAGCGACGACTTGGAGCTTGGAAGCAGCACGCCACCTACCAACAGTGAGCGCAGCACCAGCCCTTCTTCGGTGTCCAAGGAGTCAGACAGAGAGTCCAAGTATGCCGTTCCCCAAAAGACTTTGCTACTCTGCTCCTCGAAAAAGAAGAGATCGCTTGAGAAGATTGTTGAAGCAACCAAGGCTCGTCTCGAGACAGATTCTCTGGCAGATGTAGCCCACACACTCTCCAAGCGATCTCTATTTTCCCACCGTGCCTTTGCCGTCATTGGCAGCCAAAACTCTGAGTCTGTGTTTACTTCGGACCAAGTTCCCAACGACGTAAAGCTTGGCTTCATCTTCACAGGCCAGGGTGCCCAGTGGCCCAAGATGGGCTCAGACCTGTTGCAATTCCCTGCCTTCAGAAAGTCTATCCAGGCTATTGATGCTGCTATGGCAGTACTACCCGACGGGCCTGACTACAGCGTCGAAGAGATGATGTGCGCTGACATTACCGCCAGTGAGATGGACGAACCCCGTGTTGCCCAGCTCATGTCTATTGCTGTTGAGGTGGCGCTCGTAGACCTCCTGGCTGATTGGAACATCAAGCCAGTTATGACTGGTGGTCACTCGGCTGGAGAGATCGCTGCCGCATATACCGCCGGATACCTTACAAGGAGCGAAGCATGTGCAGTGGCCTTTTACCGTGGCAATGCCGTGTCTGGCTCTACTCTTGACCCTGGAGCAATGCTAGCAGTTGGCCTTTCTGAGGTTGAGTCCCACAAACTTGTTCCAGAGGGGGCCAATGTCGTGGTGGGAGCGGTCAACTCGCCAAGAAGCGTGACTCTCAGCGGTGACCAGGCCGCTATCACTCAAATCAAGCAGCACTGCGATGACAACAAGATCTTCAATCGTCTTCTTGCCACCAAGGGCATTGCCTACCACTCTGGCTTCATGGACCCTGCTGCCGAGGCGTATGACATTCCACTGCAGAAGATGAAGCGCGAGGTTTCTCACAACACGGCCAAACTACCCTTCTTCTCGACGGTTGAGGGAAGGCTATGGGCTGAAGGCGAGCTCCCCATGTCTTACTGGCGACAAAACATGGAGAAACCTGTATCGTTCCTACCAGCTGTGGCCGCGATGTTTGAAGCAGGGATGACGCACGTAGTTGAAATTGGTCCTCACTCGACTCTGCGCTCACCCATTCTGGATATCGCCAGGTCTGTTTCAACAAGCGGTATGTTCAAGTATTTGTCAGCAATGAAGCGAAAAGAAGATGCGGTCAATGTCATTATGAGTGCCGCTGGAGAGTTGGCTATTCATGGCATTGAAGTCGACCTTGCTCGCGTCAACGGAGAAACTGGAACATTCCTTACCGACTTCCCGCTATACCCTTGGGACCATCGAGTCTTGAACAACGAGGCCAGAGCCGATGTTGAATGGCGTCTTCGCAAGTTCCCAAGACATGACTTACTCGGATCCCTTACTCCTGGCTCAGCGCTGAGTACACATATCTGGCGCAATGTCCTTTCACTGAACCATGTTCCATGGATGGCAGACCACAAGGTTGGCGAGCATTACATCTTCCCTGCCGCTGGGTTCATTTCCATGGCCATAGAAGCAATGCGACAGATACGCGATGTTGCGCATGAAGCCTTCGTTCTTGAAGATGTCTCAATTGGGGCGGCAATGATGGTAGATGAGGACATCGAGGTATTCTTGACGATGCGAAAGCAAGCACTGAGCAACAATGTCACATCGGCCTTCTTCTGGGAGTTTAACATCTCCTCGGTAAAGGAAGGCATCTCGACTGAGCATGCCAAGGGGCGCATCAGCAATGTTGCCAAGGGACCACAGCATGGTGTCAAACCTCTGCAGGCGGTCAATATGGCACTCGCCGCTCCTATCCCAGAAAGCCTGTGGTACGAGACCTTGACTGCTAGTAAGGGTCTTATTTTTGGCACGAGTTTTAGGCGCCTATCGCAGATAAGTCTGGAAGCCAAACAGCATCGCGCTAAGGCAGTGATGAATGGCGATGTCACATCCGCCATGACCGGCCTGGAGAACGAGTCAGACTATATCATCCATCCTACAGTCCTGGACAACTGTCTTCAATTGTCTGTTCTTGCTGCTGGAACCTCAACTTCGGGTCAGGCGTACGTCCCTGTATCATTGGATCGCCTCACCGTGATTGAGAACGAGGCCAAGTTTGACGAGGCAACGCTCCACTCCAGTGGCAACTTCGTCGGCTTCAAAGGATTGTACGGAGCTTCCCAACTTGAAAACTCGGTTGGAAACACTATTCTCAGTCTAGACGGTCTTCGATTTGTTGGTATACCCGCCGGCGGAGAGAATGGCACCGACTCAAAGCGCGAACCCTTCTGGCGCATTTCCTGGGACGATGACTACGACGCCATCACCAAAGAGTCAGAGGAGCTCTATTTCCCACAAGAGAAGTACTGGCCCAAGCAGTATGAGTACTCCCGACAGGATCGTGAATACCTTGTGCGCATGTATATTGTCCAGTTCTCCGTGAAATACCCTGAGCTCATGACTCGTGAGCCTCTCAATGTCGAGAACAAGCACTTCATGGAGTGGGCTCACTGGATACTCAAGCTCACCGAGAAGGAATTTCCAGCGATGTGGAATATGTCCTTGGAGGAGCGACACGCGGCCATTGAAGCAGAAAGGCCCAAGGGCCCTGAAGGTTTGAAGTTGTCATGGGCTCTGTATGACAACTTGCACCACATCATTGACGGCGAGAAACCTGTTTTGGAGGTTGCGACTAAAGACGGCCTTCTAGGTCTCTTCTACGAGACGCAGCTGATATACGACAAGTTCGAGCGCATCATAGAGGTCATGGGTTACAAGAACCCAACGATGAAGATCTTGGAGATTGGAGCTGGTACTGGTTCAGCTACAGGCTTTGTCCTGAACTCCCTTACCAAGGGGGGTACCAAACGTTATTCCAGCTACACCTACACCGATGTCTCAACCTCATTCTTTACTCAGGGTGAGGAGAAGTTCTCGAACTACGAAGATATCGACTATCGGTTGTATGACATGGAAAAGACGCCAGAAGAACAAGGCATTGAGCCAGAGTCATACGATCTGGTCATTGCTTCTTGTGTTGTTCACGTCACTGCCAATGTGGTGAATGCTCTGAAGAATATTCGCCAGCTCCTCAAGCCAGGTGGAAAGATCCTTTTATCCGAGATTACAGCTGAACATCATGACCAGACCTTTACCTTGGTAAGTACTCTGAACAGCGGCAGCGTTAACATTGACACACTGCTAACCCCTACCCCAGGGTCTTTTCCCGGGCTTTTACAAAGGCTATGATGAGGGACGCACTCGTCACCCCTTCTTGACACCTGAGCAGTGGGCGGAGGCTTTCCCCAAAGCTGGCTTCTCTGCTCCTGAGCTATCTGTCAACGATATTCCAGAGGAGTGGTTCGGCTTTACTGTTCTTACTGCCGCCGCCGTAGAGGCTGAGGCGATACCTGAAATTCGGGATCAAACCATTACCTTGGTGCATCTGGAGAAGGTGACCCCCATTGCTCGCGAGATCGAGAACGCTGCAAAGCAACAAGGGTTGTCTGTCTATCACCGCCAGTTAGTACAGCATGTTGAACCTGGATCATCTGCTTGGGATGGTACCTCGCGCGTCATTGTGATTGCCGAGTTGGAAGAGCTGATCTGGCCAACTATCGAAGAACCTGCCTATCTCGAGTTCCAGAAAATGGTGCGCGAGGTCAGCAGCATTCTCTGGGTCACTCAAGGTGGTTTGATGGAAGGCCAGCATCCAGAGGCCGCTATCATCAACGGCTTCTTGCAGTGTCTCGACCTCAAGCCCGATCTGACAGCCAGGTCCATGGACTTTGAGTTGTCAGCACCACGAGACTTGAAGATGGCTCGGGAGATCATCCGCCGTGAGAGCATCATGCATGTGTCAAAGGATATGCAGTTCCGCCAGCACAATGGCCGCTGGTTGGTCCCGCGACTTCTACCAGATCAACGCCTAACTGACGACTTTTCACGTTCCCAAGGGGACGACGTTTCGATCGTGCAGAAACCACTGAAGGATCTCGGCCCTTTACAAGTAACCACAACCGATGCAGGTCGCCTTAGTGCCCTTGTGTTCAAGCCAGACGAGGAGCTCACTGGAGCGCTAGAGCCTGGCTACGTTGAAGTGCAGATCAAAGCGTACGGAATGAACTACGTGGTAAGTTATCCTTCATCCATCTTGCAGAAGACGACATTGGACTAACGGAATACAGGAACTGAGCGCATTGGCTGGTGGTTATGACACCGACAAGCTGAGCTCTGAGTTCTCTGGAGTCATCACTCGTGTGGCCTCGGATGTAAAGAGCCTTGGGGTCGGCGACCGAGTGTTTGCCATGTGGCCTGGCAAATTCGGAAACGTCGCTCGTCTCCCTCATTATGCTTGCCAGATTGCCCCGTCAACTCGAGACAGTTTTGAGGCGTTGGCCACTCTTCCATCGGCCTACTGTACTGCGTGGTACGCACTTGTCAATGTTGCGCGCGTGCAGCCAGGCGAGACTCTCTTCATCCAGAGCGCGACTGGAGGCTTTGGACTGGCGGCTATCCAAGTTGCCCGCATGCACGGCGCAGAGGTATTCGTAACGGCAGGTACCCAGACCAAACGGGACATGTTGCACTACCAGCTCGGTATCCCTGCAGACCACATCTTCCCGTCCCGTGATGTAGCTATCTACGCGGACCTCAAGGCCGCAACAGCTGATCGCGGAGGTTTCGACATCGTCCTCAACACTTCTCAAGGAGACTATCTCCGTCAAGTTACCTGGCCTCTTGTTGCTCCTTTCGGACGTTTTGTTGAGCTCAAAAAGGCTGACATCGTCGACAATGGCTCATTGAGCCTACAGAAGTTTGCCGAAGGGGTTACCTTTACTGCGGTAGACCTTCACTTCATCTCAGCCACGCGCCACAAGGTTCTGACCGATGTCCTTGCCCTGGTCGGAGACAAGTACCGAGCTGGAGAGATAAAACCTCTGTCTTGGAAGTCTTATCCTGCATCTAACATTGGTGGCGCGTACGCAGACTTCTCACGCTTTGAGCATGTCGGCAAGCTTGTTCTATCATACGGAGATGAGGACGTTGTTCCATATCTCCATGTGCCCCCGAAGCCAAGATTTGATCCAGGAGCCGCGTACCTGGTGATCGGTGGCCTCAGTGGCATCGGCGCGTTCTTAAGTAGGTGGATGGTTCAGCAGGGCGCAAAGACGATGGTTTTCATGAGCCGTTCTCCCCTATCCGGTGACACAGCTGAGAACGCGGAGCAACTCAAAGAAATGGGTGCTACAGTCATTCATGTGCAGGGCTCTGTCGCCAATGAGAGCGACGTGTATCGTGCTCTGACGATATCTGGGCAACCGATCCGCGGCATAATTAACTCGGCTCTTGTCCTACGCAACATGGAATTCGATAAACTGAGCTGTTCTGAGGCTCGCGAGACATTCTCTCCCAAGATCCAGGGCAACTACAATCTGCATCGATTGAGTCGGAAGCTTGGTTACGGCTTGGACTTCTTCATCCTTCTGGCTTCGTTGACTTCCATCTGTCGGGCTGCTACACAGGCCTCGTACTCCGCAGCCAACTGCTTCATGGATGAGTTTTGTCGCTTCCGACATCGCCAAGGCCTGCCCTGCACAACCGTGAGTCTCGGTGTTGTCGGCGACGTTGGTTTCATGGGTCGCAACCAGGGCAATATGCAGCATCTTATTCGCAACGGCCATTACGTGACAGTTGGTCGTGAGCTCATGGAGTTGTTTGAGACGGCTCTCTTCCGTCGCGACGATGTTGGCGCTTGGAAGAAAGATGAGATCCTCGCCTTGGGCACTGAGCCAGCCAAACTCCGCGAGCTTCTCGACAAGGGATCCGTTCCGGTGCCTCTTTGGGAACGAGACGCACGCTGGAGCATCATCGGCACGCATGCCTTGCGTAGCAACCGCGGCGCTGGTGGTAGCACATCTGGACCTGGCAAGTTGCAGAGTGGTGACATCAAGGACGTAGTGGCCGATCGTCTGAGTCGCCTGTTGTGGATCCCCGTTGAGAAGCTCAACTTGGATACTAGCTTGAACGCGATGGGAATTGACAGTATGATTGCTAGTGAGTTCCGACATTGGATGTATCAGACATTCAAGACGAACGTCAGTATGATGGATCTTTTGGCTCAGGACATGACAGTGGAGAAGCTTTCTGGACTGCTTCAGAAGGCGTGAGAACTACAAATGCAGGATGAATTCGTCCTTAGTTAGGGTTGTTAGCAATGGTGTTTAATTAACAAGGCGTTATGTATTAACTTAAATGTTAATAATTAAAACAATATCACCATCGAAAACGAATTTGTTTGAAGTAATGCTGCTCCGGGCCATAACATGCCTCTGAGAGGCCGTGTAAGAATTCACAGGGGTTTAACTACAGCGTAATGGTTGGCCCATTAAGAGGCAGAGAGGTTTACGCTGGCGACAAAGATGACAACCACCACCAGTGTTTGACCATATTAATGAACCAAGGTCAAACAAAAAAAAGGATATAATAAAAAAAGAGATATTAACAAAAACATACAACAGCGGGGATTCGCTGGTCGTCACCGACCCAACTACTAATCCGCCGGTTAGTGGCTTGACTATGGGAGAGCGGACGGGATCCCGTATTTTCCACTACCTTTGGTCGTATGTGTTATACGTAAAATATTTTAGAATCTATGTAGGACTTTCATCGGAACGTCAAGCCCAAATGTGACAATAAGGTTTCACGAACTTGTTGGCATGTCTGATTCGCCTTTCGTAGCTGTTAGGCACATCTAAAAGTATGTCGGGGCCACTTTCTCTTCAGCACGACCGAATTCCAACAATGATTTATTTTTATCGCACATGTTGAGAGCTTGAACGACACACCCAAGTCGACAAACACCCCAATCGATGTTTACTTGACGGTGAGCTGCGAGTGGCGAGCTATACGAGGGCTCGACTAAAGATCAAAATGAAAGATAAAAGGAAACTTCATAATAAATACAGAATATAGAAAGAGTAACCAGCCAAGATTAATATATCTTACATTTCAGGACCAGTACTAGGGCTTGCAGTAGCCTGAGGGTGCCTACTTCATCAGCCTACCCTAAAACAAGCGACCACTTAATGCACTTACGGACAATGGACGTCATCGTTGTCGCCGAAATATGCACGAATTTAAGAGTCATCAGGAAAACAAATGCTTAGTTAGTTCATCTAGCAAAGGAAGTCGAATCGAATAGTGTTTATATAGTGTGCATTCCTAGCTAGTGACAAACCTAGGATAACTACGACCCGATAACTTTCAACAACTTGAGGTACTCCGTAGATGGCATTTGATTGATCGAGGAGCACAAAGTAAGCCAATTAAAACCACGACGGTGCTGAGCTATCCACCTTCGGTTAGCGCCGGGCCCATTCGCCCAGTACATCCACTGAAGCCACTGAAGCGCGCTGTACATTCCTTGGAATACCTAGATTGGCTGACTGGTCACTAAAAGCATAGCGTCCCTCGATGTTCTCTCTTCCTCTGGTGACATATATCAGACAGTTACAAAAAGTACCAGAATTCCTTGAACGAGGTACATAAGGACCGTTAACTCAATTTCTTTTTTAGATAACTGGCGCTAGCCAACTAGGCCCCGACATAAGACCAAGGACACACACCTCTAATTAACTCCAACTCTGCAATCAATATTGTAAATCGTCTTCATGACCATAGGCGTGTAGATGATATCCGCAGCGCTTGTTAGCCACCTGGCAAATACACGTTCACTGCCTCGGTCTGGGGTGCATCTGATGCTGGCAGCGGGGATTGCCGCCTCAGAGCCTGACGCCTCATGACCTGTCAAGGCGGAAAGATGGAGGTACATGATCAGTCTCTATTTCTATTACAAGTGGTGGCGTGATCTAACGCAGAAGTCTTGCCACAAAGAACGAGATGCATTCTTGGTGAAGCTCGTTCACCTAGAGTACTAGCAAAGAGGTCCCAATAGTGGGAATGTGGACTCTCGGGTTTGAACCGAGGCAAAAGCACGTTTGTTCATAACGAGTAAAACTTGGTAGAATTCAAGCTAGTTCTAGAGACTGTAAGGGGGAGATAAGGAGTCAGGCGGGTAGTGACCGGCGATTACCTGCTGTTGAATGTTCACTTTTTAACTCTTGCGACAGTCAATGCTAAGTGCGCCTACCCAGGACTCCCGGGGAAGCCTATATTTACCTGCAACCCGTTGTGTATGTTGTCTTTCCTGGCAGACGAGTGATCCGGACACGAGTGACTACTCTGACACGTGACGTTTAGATCTGGTGGCTATAGATGTATCTTAGCTGGTAGTAAGTCTCAGACATCTTGAAAAAGGGTGCACCTGCCTCCGGGAGTACCTCTGGGTTTGAGACGATCTGACCAATCTTCTTGGCATTCTAAGCGAGCGAATAATAACCCAACACACCCTCGATGCTGTTAACTACTAATTCGGGCTTCCGAGCTGCGTCTACGAAGATCTACTATTCCTATCAAGAAGGAAAGAGACTAGAACAGGTCAGACACTTCCTATGTTCTCGTATACTAGTTATGACAAAAGGTTGCTTCGGAGAATTGTAAGTCTTATTAGACTAAAAACAGTCATTACCAGTTCCTATCGGACCCCTTGGTGACGAGAAACCTTTGAGTGTGATGCTACGGCAACGGAGAACAGGCCTCGCGAATCCATCCTATTACGGCATGGCTCACAGTCCGCCTTTCAATATCCGTTTACAATCTCCAGCAGGAACGAAAACAACACATCCCACACTACAAGGATCTACTCCTTAGGATCTCTTTAAGGCCTTGGAAGCCCATTTACCCCCCTGCCTACATCAACAGCAGCGTTTCCTGGTCGTCCTCGCTCGTCGTGAGCTTCTCCTTCTCGATGTCCATGGCTGACGTCAGTGACAACATGAGCTTCTACATATTATCTCAATTTCCCTACTGCTAACTAAGGCACTCCCGTGCCTTAACGGTTTGATCGACGTGGTCATGGGAGGGGGAGAAGGAGCGCCGTGCTAAATGGTTTGCATGGTCTCTTACAGGTCGAGGGACTCACGGCGTGCTTAGCAAGAACAAGACGCATGTCATTCAAGACCGACTCCTGGCGTGTCGTCTCAGCTCCAGCTGTTTTAGCCACGACGATGGCGTTGTCTATGGCGGCGTCCATGGCGCTGATGCATATCTTATTACGTACCTGTTTATTCGGCTTCAACGTGGTTGTTAGTGAGGCGCTGGATTCCCTGTACCTGCTTGAAAAGTATCATACATATTGCCGTACGGTATTACCAATATCAGACTATATTATTCAATGTAAGACAGCAGGTGTACTTCGGAGCGGAGATCCGAGAGCTAGCCCTGATGTCAGTCATGAGAGTGGTGTCCTGGCCGTTCATAATGTCGCCCTGGCTGTGATCTGTATCGTGATAGACCTGTAGCGGATGCGCTTGGAAGGAGAATGCCAAGTAGTAGCCGCTAACGGTTCCATAGCTCACTTGTGGCGATCAGAAACGATACTGGTTCGGAGACGAGTAGCTGTTATCGTAGCAGAGATCGCGTACCAAGAGGCACGAGCCTCGGCTCCTCAAGAGGTCTAATGGTCGAGAACAGAACCGTTTTCAAAGGCTCGGTCGTAGCCATCGGGCTGAGTGGAGTTCTATGTCTGTCGCTGTTCTTATTCCAGACATCTCCTGATAGTGAGGTAATTGGTGAGACGTCCGTCCTTTTCACGTTGGACCTCATCGGTAAGCCACGCAACTGGGTTGTTTAGCATTAGCTCCGAGTAGTCCCAGCACACCAGCTCGACGAACTTTGCTAGCTTCTTGAGCATGATCGTCGCCCACTTGTCGGGCTCGATTTCGTTGACAAGGTCCCGTGGCGTCGCTGTGAGCTGTAGTAGATAAGGCAAAAGAGACCCTGCATATAGACGGATGCAGTGTCGTACGGTCTGGATATGGGGGGGTAGTATCGCAGTCTGGGCTTAAAAGGTGGTAGGCTGCCTTATGGGCGACATAGCCAAAGGTTACGGAATGGCGATGGCAGACGTCTATATGAAATAGAAGGAAGTGTCGGGAATAGAGAAAACAAAAAATGAAGTTATGGCCATTCGCGCCTGTGCGACACGATCCGAGTGAAGCTGGAGCTGAAGCTGGAGGCAATGGTGAATGTATGTGAAGGTGAGCCTTGTGATCTGGGCAAGACTAGCTTAGTGCTGTTGCATGACAGGATGTTAGTTGTGGCACGGCCGTTTCTTGCCGCATGTGGGTCAGCTGTGGTATCATTCAAATCTTTGGCCTTGCATATAGCGCCTCAGCTTTGGGCAGATGAAAATGATTCGCTTCAAATTAGGGAGTGAGGCTTTTGCATATGTAACAGAAAGAGCATAATATAAGCTATGGCCAGGTTCGACGGAAATTGAGAGTGTGTTCCACAAATTGCATACGCAGAAATCTAAATCGCGTGTCTAAGCCGGAATCGATACAGTGTCTTCGAATCACTAGATCTAGGTGTTTTTGTTATTCTTGAACATAAATAGAACATATGTGCTTCCCAACAAGTGACGCCAGTTGATAGGAGACCAAGAAACTCTTCACATACTTTGGTGCTTTGGAACAAGTTAGAAAGGCACGAAATAGTGTTAACAGCGGCGAAGTTAAGAAGAAGCTCATAGATCTAGGATCACGCCAACATCCCCGAGCTTATTACTTACTACGAGGTAGTCATCGAATTCTAATGGGGTGCCATTGACCTCTTAATGAGGGTCGGGCTGCCATCGGTACAAAACCCTGATGTTAACAAATAATTATTCCCTATAGTCAAGGTCAGGTCTAGCTCTCGGACGTCTTATATACCGTCCTCTTCGATGCTCGTCGGCGGAATATCCCATGACTACCCTCCGGGGAGGGCTGCAGGCGGCTTGCTTCTGGCTGAGTTCAATTCTAGACTGACTAAGGTTAAGGACTATTCGGAAAGGCTAGATATCTAAAACTGTCATTAACACATTCGGTTCTCGGCGGTCGAGCCTGGGAACGTACTCACATCATAATGAACGGGGTTTATTCCATACATTACACATAACAGTCCCTAGGAGCACCCTTTGCGGAGACTGAGGTATCCTATTAATTGAGAGTCAGAAGTAGTATCTATTTTTCAAAAACCTTGTCAGTCTCGAAAGACTCAAGATCTTCAGACTACTGCACTTTACCTCTTGTAAACGTAAGTCCCTTTCCAAAAATCATCCCAAGGTTAGAAAAATACACAGAAAATTCCATATTGAACTGCAAATCTTGCTTATTATTTGATGAGTGTCAATCTGACACCAGCCGTGGGGCAATTTCGCAGCCCTGGAACGAGAAGGAAAGCCAATGGTGGCGATTCGTTGGATCAATACTATACCCTGGTGCTATTTCATCGATGAGGGCCTGGTTGTAATGGTTCTTGCATAAGCATTCTATAACTGTCCAGAAGATCCAGCGTTCCAGACATCGTTCCACGTCGCACAGTAGAAAAAGCACATTTTGAAAAACACCTAAAGTTTAATACTAAGAGTTGCCATAATCATAACGATGATCCATATCATGCTGTTCGTCCACCCCAAGTTCCAATCACTCATTCATTCATCATAACAATCCGCTCAGTACTTCAGACGTTTGATCCGATTATATTTATCCTTGACCTCAGAGGCAATGTCTGCAATCTTCTCCGCAGGCTCCCAGATACAACCGTTTTCCCGGTAGCCGACCCACTGAACCAGGTATTCGCACTTCTCATTAACGTAGCGGTGCTTGTGGAATTTGGACGGATAGAAAAGTTCGAACACGGTGGCCTCGCGGCGCCCACCGAGACCATCCCAGTACTTGAAGATCATTGGTGGAATGCAGGGCTGCCAAAAGGCCTTGTCTTCAGTGATGATCTGTTCATTAGCCCATAAAATTCCAAAGTCTACGCCAAAGGTCTCGTGATCCAACCGGTAACTGACGATTGAGTGGACTTCATAGCGGCGGTTCGGATGGGCTGCGATTTCGTGTTCGGCGGCAACATTGGCTTCGGCGGCACCGTTTACTTCAGCAGCCTGTCCACTTCAATTGGCTTGAGCAAGTTCTACCCTTGTGACACCCGCAGCTTACAAGTAAAACTGCTACAAAGTTACGGAATACAGTATCAGTCATAGATATACCGTTGACTGGAAATTCGAGATATAGATATACCCATTAACTGGATCTTGATACAAGTCTCGAAATGGCAAATTGACACATAGAAAAAACCTCCCTTATAACAGAGGATTTGTGGCGTATTTAGCTAAATGCGGGTTCGTTTATTAGTCTCCATCCATATATATCTGTAGCCAGCGTCTGGAACAGAGAACAAAACCGATTAACGAGACAAGAAGCAGCATAACTCGGGTATGTCCCCCGTTAATAAACTTTAATAAGAAATTAGTTAGCTGAGGAGGGGGCCGCTGGTCGCTTGATGTAATTGGGTTATCTTCCGCTTTTCCCTGTCGCTGTGGAATCGGATAACTCACGTTAAAGACCGGCGTTTATGGAGGACTTCGCCGTGGTACGGGATTACATTTGAGCAGTAGGGAAACTCCTGAATTGACTAAAGAACCGTAGTTCTCCTGAGACAACCGGTCAAACTTGAATTTCTCACTAACACATGTAGCGACATCTTGCATCAGCACACGTCGACGATCTTGGCAGGTATTCTAACCTAGACTAGATAGGAGGACATTTACAGAATATTGTGGAGATTTCTATGAGGAAGGTCAAAGTCGGGTATCTCTAACATCACATTGTTGAATTTCCTTGGTAGAACAAGTGCCTCCTTTTCTTCTCGTTAAGATATATTGCTAGAAGCCGGGAGAAAAGGTCGTATCTAGAAAAATTAGATTTCTACACTACTGTTGTGGGACGGTTTCCTCAAGATACAAATATCGCTTAGTAATGCCAAACAGACTACTAACATTCTTAAGAATCGTAACCCAGATCTCGGCGTCCAATTTTGTTTCAGAATTGCTATTGCAATTCAGTGTTCACCTCAAAATCAACATCTCCCGAGTTCCATGATTAACATGTCTTCTCTGTTTTCTTTCCACTTCAACTTCAAGAAGTTTGAATCCGTCCTCTATCCCTATTCCCGATGTTCACACCATCTATACCACTCTCCTCGCCACATACGGCCGCTACAGGTCCTTGAACTACCTCAACACATGGTATCATACGACAACCCTATAAACCCTGCGAGCGTCGAGAACCTGAACCGCAGAACCTATTCTATGGACTTCCCAAATTTCCACATATACCCTACCTTCATGCTAAGGATCATGGTGCCATCGAGAATGGAACAAAGAAACCCATGACTACCAGAAAATGTGTGATTTCCAAGTCGGACGTGTATAATATTGACTTTCGCCCTGGGGAGACAGCTACAATTACAACGCAGATCTCATAAACCTTGAATAAACACTTACTAAATACTACTAAATAGCTAATACGTAAGACTGTGCAAGGATCCTTCCCTGCCATAGACTATCATGTCATGACTTCTTTGATCTTGCTGATCGCTGGTCCTCCTACATCTTCCCCTTCAATGCCGTCGGAGTCTATGGCGTTTAACAACCTGAATGACATGCCACATGTTCACCTGACTTCAAATATCCCCTCGTCCACTTCCGTCGTTCATGTTTGTTTCTCTTCTCAATCTGCGCACGTGCTGAATCCAGGGTTGAAAGCCCATCATGCCAGTCCAGCAAAGGAGGGCCTACCTGAATGCCCAGCCGGATCAAACCAAGATCTTCGCGCACAAGTACAACTTTAAAAATAACAGTAAATTATTACATCTTGTCAAAGTACATTCGTATTTCAATGGCGGCACTCACTGGTAGGTTAGTATCTCGAGTACCTATCGCCAAGGTGTGTCCAGTGGGGAATGATATTGTTGAGTTTGGCAATTGGCACACATAACAAGCCACCAGATATCCACACTAGTTACGACAGTCTGCCGTATAGACATGAGTTCATTATGCAGAGTTATAAGACGGGTTGTATGTTTATCAATAGATGTAAATATATTTCTGAACTCTTGAGACTGCCCATTGGTCACGTGAATATGCCGATTTCGAATGTACAAACCTGTCTTCTTCGGCCTCGAGCTCGTCTTGGAGGATATCCCTGACTTCCTGGGGTAGGAAGCCTCAGTTCTTCGTAACGCTTTGAATATCTTCGATAAGATGTAATGCCTCGGTACTTCCTGTGTGACACACGACATCCTTGAGGCCGCCAAACTTAGTAAATATCCAGTCTACAGGCTTTTCTAGCTTCTGTAGATCGTCAGACTTTTTGACCGGGCTTGTCGAACGGGCCTGGCTCGTAACACCACTACCGCTTTATAAACCAGTGCTGAAAGTTTGTTTGTGGTTGTCTCTGAGGATCTTTTTGTAGTGGCGCGGTTGAACAGAACTTAGTTTATAATATGAGGTAACTGTATTGCGATGCGAAAAGCCGAGATCGGGCGTTAGGCGGATGGCGAGACGGCGTCTGGACTGCCTTGGTGTCTTCTGGGTGTTTTGGCTAAAGACATTATCCGACTCAGATAAGAGGTCTGATATAGTTTTAGTGTCTTGGGGCTTTCTCGGACTCCTTCTCAGATATTCATTGTTCATGCCGGTGTTATTGTCTCTTAACTGTTATTCGTAATCCAGTGGCAACCCGTATGTGGTCGTGCAAAGACATAGAGCAATAAGCGGAATGAATCTCAAGAACTTTCGTATTGTCCAAGACTTGTAATCTCGGGTTTTTAAAAACACTAGACTGTTATGAGGGATGAAAAATAAAATTCGCCTAATTCTACAAATCAACCTTGACTGTCAGCCAGTCACAGCCCTTTCGAGATTCAGGTCCAAACTCTGCTTTTTTCTGCTTCATATAGGGGTCCTTCAATGATTCAAAGAGTTATTGATTGATTTTACAAAAGTGCACAATCTCTGGGCAGGGGAGTTAGGGTAGATGAGCAAGTTCGTAGAATGAAAGCTGCGGATATTTCCTGGAGGTTACCGTCTTACCCACGGTCTATAGAAGTGGGAGATGTAAGTTTTACTTTAAACAAGATTGAAAAATGCGGAAAGTCTGACAATAATTAATTTGAAGTTTGGAGTAACAAAAAAGAAATTGGCTCGCTCCAGGGTAGGCTCAGCACACCCTCTAAAATTAGTCGCCAATTAAATTAGCTGAACGCGTATTAGTCATCGCGTCACCATGACTACGAAACCCCACGAACGAACAACAATAGCGTCATTGTCATTTCCAGCTTGAACTTCGTAAACTCAACCTCATAACGACCCATCTCCCCACAATCACTATAGATCAGCACGTATGAGATTCGACACATCCTTAAGCCAAGTTATTAAATGGCTGCAAGATATTCCCATTCGTTCTCAGCCTTCCGACGCAGACTTCGACACGCAATCCACGACGAAACGACGACTATCATCAGCAGCGGATTCTCCACCTGCGAAACGGCGCCAGCTTCCTTCTCCCCCAGCGTCACAGCGATACAGACAGAACATGGAGGGTATATCGACACCGAACAAGAAGCGATTGGCAGAGGGAGAACCATCAAGTCAATACGAGAGGGAAGATGAAAACACACCCAAAGCGGCGGCCACTAGCAGAGGGCAAGCAGGACGGGGCAAGGCCTCGAGTGCCTCGTCGCAGTCGGGCAGTTCGTGTTCACACGACAGTAAACGCTCCAGGGGATCTGCGTCACCGATGAAGATGTGGCCGTTGGTAGGATCAGCAGGCCATCAACTTGTGCGGGGGAATGCATTTGGCTTGCGACCCCCGGCTGTCACAGCGCTTGCCAGTACCTTCTCTCAGATCAACAGGACCCGCTCGATTATGCCCAAGAGCATTCAAAAACCTCTTGAAAAGTTGGGAGAGGATGTGGACGACACCATGTTTTATGACGATGATGCAGCGATCGATGGGCCTTGTGGAAAGGATTTGATCAGACTTGCACAGCGCATCGCAAAGCACTCCAATACTTGCTCGAGTCAACTGCAGGATGAGGGCGCGTGGAACAACCTCGTGCATACTCGAGTGCTAGATATGTTTATCCACGACTTCCAAAACAGCCCAGGCCAAGACCAATGCGACTTCATGCCATGGTAAGTATGCCATTCCTCCACAGAAAGTCAATCACAGCCCAACTAAGCCGTTCCTCAGCATCACAACGAACATGAACCTCGAACACCACCGCTTCAACGAATCCGCAAGCCGCGTGGACTATATTATCCGCCTCCTCCCCAATGACGACGATGACTCACCAGCATGCTTCACCCCCAGCAGAATGCCCTCACGCAACTGGACGTCCAACCAACTGCTCCCCATAGCATTCAGCATCGAGACTAAGCGTTACGGCGGTGATGTTACAAAAGGCGAGCAACAGTTGGGTATCTGGACGGCGGCACAATGGGAATTTCTCATCAAAATGTCTAGCGCCGAGGCAGTGAAAGAGCTGGCGTATATTCCGGGTGTGATTGTGTCTGGAGAGACCTGGTCGCTTGTTATAACGACAAGGACAGGGGTACGGACCGTAAGTAATATCACGTATAAAACGGACCTTGCTGACTTGTGGTAGACTGTTTATCCTGGTATCCCGTTTGGTAATACTGGGACTGTTATTGGTGTATTCCAGGTTATTGCTGGTCTATGTAGGTTACGGACATGGGCCTTGGAGAAACTATGGCCGTGGTATCAGAAATATCTTCCTGGTTTGGCACCGCCTAAAATTAGCCAGCCATCGGTTATGGAGAGTTGTGACCTAAGCACAGCTATCTCACTGGAATGACTGGACTTATGAATAAATGATACACTGTTGATACCAAGGCCTACAAGCCTCGCTCAATACAAGGCATAACCCTGTATGTTGCTACATACTAGCTTGAGTTAAAGACAGACAGCCTGAAGCTCCGTTCGCCCCCATGTTCGGACCATCAACTCACTCGGCAAGGAACCACATTTGCATACGATGAGAAGTTCCTCTTCCGCATAGAAGTGCGATGATGTTGGAAATTAAGTAATGGTTTAGTACGGCGACACCGACTCCAAGTCGACGCAAATTTTTAATTTACATGAGAATTGAATAGATTTTGTCTGCGAGTTCGGAGGGGACTAAAGCGAAGTAGGTGACTATCTAGTGGATACTCAGGTAGCAGCTAATACCATAATACTTAGCCTGGTCGCTGGCTTTCTTTAGATCCAAACGGCATTACAGACGATTCTAGTAGTGTTAGATAGTAATAACCTAATATAACTCGCTGATCCACAGGAAGCAGAAGATACGCCTACTAAGGAATGGTCAGTTAGGGAGAACACAGGCCAAGCAACTAAAGCCTAGGCCGGCATAATGAGAAAAAGCCCAAGAGTGTTACTTGTGGCTGTAAAAGCCGTAAGAGGTATTCTAGCTATGTAGACTGGACAGATGGGATTGAAATGTCTTACTGGGATGGCAAAGACCCGAGGGAAAAAAGTGTTACAACAGCTAGGGCTAATTCGTAAAATGACGATATTGCCGCTGGAAACGAGTATCAGGAATCCTTCTTACCGTTCAATGCTTGCTCATAGACAGTCCAATGACCCTTTGTTTGAGGTTACTGTTAAATAGTAAAGAATGGGTTTGATTCTTTAAGAAAACAATAGGATAGGGGAGAAGTTATTAAGACGGGCGCAGACAAGGCATCCGAGAATGCCATCCCCATGGACCCTATGACAGCTACTATTTTATCTGAGTAGCGTATTAAGAGGGCGCAAAACAAAAGAGAGCCATGATAAATACTATATGATTCAATCGGTTGCGGTGGAAGCCATTTAGAAAGAATACTAATGCTTTGCACAATTGTTAACCCTAAAGTTTATATTCTTGGCTTACATCTTCTTTCATCCTTAGAAATAATACACCAACGTTAGATATCAGCAGAGGCAACAAACACAGGTCAAAGGGACGGGAGGGAATACTAAACGTCCTGAGGAGAGGCTAGGTATGGAAAGTCTTGTCTTTTGTTCATCCAACCTAACTGGCTTATCTACTGCTGTATTCAGGACGATCAATAAGATATCCACCCATCACTACAGGCTCCATTCGGCTTCTATCTTAATCATGTATCGCGCAGTCGATTCATTTCGTCCTTGATGGCGATAGCGTCTATAGTCCCGACAAAATTCGATGTCGTGGTAATGTATTGGCCTTTGTTGCTAAAACTCGGAGAGTCCCGCTGGCTTCGGCTAGAAGATCGCGAGAGCAGCATTAGGGCCTCAAGAGAAAGGGCGACTCCAAGGTGCCCTGCCAAGATGCGGCGAAGAGGCAGGGCAATAAACTCAATCCTCGATCCTCGAGTGTTTGTCTTACTCCTGAGCAGACCAGTCTTGAGCATATTGATGTCCAGTTTCGCAAGACTGGTTAAGTCTTCCTCCCTCCCGACATCAAAGCTTTCACCCCCTCTGAGTGAATACTTCGTTTCATCTTCGCACTATTCAGACATGACCCTATCACAACATTTTGTTTGATGGCCGGCAAATGGAACGAGGAAGTCATTTCCATTCCACGAAAGTTCTTTGGCGCATACGTCATGAATCGATTGAACTAGAGCAAAGGTCTATCTCGCTATCTTCTCCGCCTTTAACAAATTCGAATCCACCTCAAAACCAACACGCTCCGACAAGGCCAAATTTAACTCTCATCCGACAAGAAGAAGAAGAAGCTTCTCAAGGCGGCGGGATGGACAAGTAGCCGCCTGACGTATCACAACTCACAAGGCAGCAGATGGAAGTTGCTGAGCGAAATCAACTCGAACCTGTTGGCCCTACTCTCATGCTATTCTCCACAGTTTAGAGTCAAGGTTACGACCAAGGAATGGCTTTCAAAGCGTGAGATGACGGAGAACAAATTGATGATGGAGACTACTGATGTTGGTATGGTACTGGGTGCCGTAGGAGCATTTGTGGAAGCGGTGGAGCAAGGAGAGGATGTTGTTTTTGAGGGGGTATATTACAAAAGGAGGACTAAGCGGATCTTAATGCGCGAGCTGTAAGCTTGACATTGTGAAGGGAACTTATACAAGGAGTGTATATTGCATATGGCGACATTTGAAAGCATTACTACTATGGTATCTAAACTTCAATCGATCAGATGTACTCCGTATATAGGCGGGTAATACAGTGTATTACATAAATAAATGGGTATTTACACAACATATGAACTACTATCGGCCTTATAGGCAAGGTGTAATTTCCATCAACGTCTCTACTTTTTAGGCTTTAAAAGTCACTACCCATAACATTTTCAAGCCTCGCCGACCGATAACGCGTTATTTGAGGGGTATAACAATAATATCATTGGAAGATACCATCGTCGAGCTCTGCATTTCTTATTAACTGGTTCATCTGACTCTCAAACCAACATTCGTATCAGGCCTTTCCGAAACTGTGTTTGTTTTACGACACCTTCTTCTACTCGTCAGAATCTATGCCGCCAATATTGCCTTCTGGCTCATCCATTCTCAACGTGCAAACAAATGTCTGTCCCATCACTGATAAGAATATTGCGCCTGCTATGCACTCAACACCACCACCTCGAAGACCACGCTGTCTCGCTCCAAAAGCCCCCCATACAAGCAAGACGCTTGGCTCTGAGGCTATTCATCACGCCCCGCCGACACTTGCCACTCAGGTGTGCAGGTATTCTTTATACAGCCCGGATGCGAAAGCTTATTCCTTTGAGCTTCGCAAACGCTCCCCGAAAGCGAGGAGCAGACCAGATCACCATTGCCGCCACCAGCCTGCACCAACAACACTATGCCGCTCGTCCTAGCAGGGGTGTTGCCTTCAACGCTGGCGCTAGAGGTAATGGTAGCGGACAACGTAGTCAAGGCTACGACTGCTTAAGCTGTAGCGACTGTGGCTCTGGAGTTCCTTTTAATACCAACGCCGTAGTCCTCGGACAAAACACTGGCCTGTCTGCCCTTTAACTTTATGTGTATCACGCGCATCTTCGCTTCTGTACCCATCATTATATTTATACTGCAAGATTGAAAAGGAATAGCTGGCTAACTCATATCCAGGTACACTAGCATTATCCATATCGATCCCTCCTCCCTTCCGCTCCTGGCCCCTAGTTTTATAATGCCCCAGCTAAAAAGATCCAGTGACCAGCTCGGCACCATACTCACTTCCCGATCGACCGTCTAAAGTTACATAAGTCATTAACTAAAATACTAGGCCGATCACCAAGAACGTAGCAAAGTGGTGGGTGTTAATCGACCGAGGCCGACGTAGCTTAAACACTGTCGTATCATACTGCAAACCGAGCCCTGAAAAAGACTTCTAGAATTTTTTCAATAGAAGCTACCAGTCAAGGTCGGTAATATAACTAATTATAAAGCGAACTAATTAGTCTATACTATACTAGAGGACAATAACATTCCTAATAATATAATATCTAATCTTACCACCCGATTAGAAAATCTACCTCTTATACTTATATAGGTAGTAACATTTATCTACGAAAATAACATAATAACTAATAACTATATTAGGCTACTCTAGTTTGCTGGTCCTAGATATACTTGCATATATGATTCTAAGATTTTACTACTATTCTCTGTCATCCCGAATCCACTATCCACCCCTTCAATTATGCCATTTAGGGAGACGGCCCTTTCCGACACGCTATCGTAGCTTGTTCATCCTTGATGAGTTATCATTATCATGCTATGGTATACAGGGCTAGCTAGACCCTACACTCTAGGACTAGATCATGCTCTGGAGTAACAATTACTCAACATCCCGAATATCCACTATGACCACCATCAGTCCGATTGGCCCTTGTACCCGGATACGTGTCGTTGGGTTGGGCATTGAAGTGGAACCTGCTTATATATACGAATTTCGGCTAGCATGATAGTCATACCGAGATAGGGGGTCAGGTCTCGGACGTCTTAGTAGTAGCATCTCTACAAAGAGTCATCGATTCGGGTGTATCTTATTTAAGTTTGTTATTACGTCAATTATAGAACGTACTCTTATTATCCACATAATCGTAGACCTTAACGGCCGTTATGTTTTCCTCTGTCTTTAAAACCGTACGCGCTAGCCCCGGTCAGGCCATTAGGCGACACAAATTATCAGCGCGCCAGATTTATAACTTCAGGACACTCGACCGTCCTAACACAAGGCTACTAATAGGTCCTACAGCTTGCCTTCTACGCCACAACATGTCTCGTTACTAACCTTCGTTCCTAGGCTACAATCAGCGGCAGGAATTCGCTACTATTGCGCCTACAATTACCGAGATAGGAGGAGGCCCATTGAAGGACAAGACCCGTGTTGGCATAATTGGCGCTCGAGGCTATATTGGTCAGACACTGATCGATCTCCTTGACTCTCATCCTAGATCTAGGCTGACACATATCTCCTCGCGCGAGCTTGCTGGTAAGCCGGTACCGAACTATCGAAAGTCGAGCGCCGTATACGAGGAGCTTTCCCCAGCGGATGTCGGCATGTTGGAGGCTCAAAAAGCCGTGGACTGCTGGGTACTCGCCCTGCCTAATGGCCTAAGTGGACCCTACCTAGCTGCTATAGATATAGTGGCCTCGCGGACAGACAGAAGCACAGTCGTGGTCGACCTTTCAGCCGACCATCGGTTCGATAGCTCGTGGACATACGGGCTCGCTGAACTGGTCAGTCGTACCGACATTGCGCGTGCTACACGCATAGCAAATCCAGGTTGCTTCGCAACGGCAGCTCAGCTTGCTTTAACTCCCATTTCAAAGTTTGTAGGCGAACAGCCTACGATATTCGGCGTTTCCGGCTACTCCGGTGCTGGCACAAAGCCTTCACCTAAGAATGACCTCGGCTTTCTTAGGGACAACGTCGTACCGTACGGCGTTACTGATCATATACACGAGCGAGAAATCAGTGCAAGACTAGGTTATCCCATCAGCTTCATTCCACACGTCAGTTCTTAGTTCCAGGGCATTCTCCTATCCATCAATGTTCCGCTAAATAGGAGCATGGCTAGGCTAGAGGTTGACCGAATTTACCGGGACTACTATTCTGGCGAAAAGCTTGTCCATGTTGTCGAAGACACGCCCTTGGGGTTACAGATATCAGGAACCCATGGCGTTGATATTGGTGGATTTGCCATTCACAGCAGCGGCAAGAGATTGGTTGTTTCTGCTACTGTGGATAACCTTAACAAAGGCGGTGCGACTCAGTGTCTACGTAAGTTCTGTATGATCAATAACTCCCACGCGATGGATGCTAATGGCGATTCAGAGAATATGAATATAGCCCTAGGCTATCCAGAATACGATGGGATCCCGATCCCCTAGGAGTATTGGTTTGGCTTCCCCGGGTACTAAGACGAGGGCTACGGTTTAACGTAAGGGTAACGTAGGTTATTTAATATATAACTCATACTTATGAGAATAAAGCTTCAAACAGTAACTTAGTACTGGTGCATAAAACTTTCTTCTATGGCGGCAGGATGTTACATGGCTCCTATATAGTTTCTTGTGCTCATATCGTTCTAACATCGGATGTATTTATTAGAATGGTCTAAGCGTTTTTCCTTACTCCTGTGTCTAGAATACATCCCGTAAACAGATTCCTGCTTTATTTAGACAGACGACCGGTATCGTCTGTCCCAATACGCTGATTACAGTTCTTATCTAAAATAGAATATTATTTGTCGACACTGAGTTTTAAATCTGATAGAAGTCGTGACATAGGCCATGAAGTAACGGAGAGACGGTACTCGTTCTAGAGTATGAGCAAGATCCCTTCTGTCTTCGCTAGTCCTTATTATATTAGTCCAGCACACAATTGAAAATCGGCACCCACGTATCCACGTTAGCCGTCAGAGAGCGTGCCTAGGACTTTTTATTTTCTTCCCGTACCAGGCCTAGTATCAGCAGTCAGTATGTATCAGCCTATACATAACTGAAAACTCACTGTTTCATAGCCTGCCCCGACTACATAATTTCCAATTTTCTATTACAGCCACGACGCTTGAATAGAAATGGCAACAGCCCGTGCGTTTTCACCCTGCTTATCAAGATCCAATAATGTATTCGTTGAAGTGGAAGGGTTTAATACTTTAGGACGAGTAATGCCGACTATATGTAAAGCACTACTGGCTATGGCACTTTCTATGGCCTTACGGCTATGGAATCTGCCTGTGACGAGTAGGGGTATGTTAGAATACCGATCTCTGACTACTTTCGTAAGATCTAAGAGGAATGCCTTTCTTACTTTGGTACTTTCTTTCTTTACCTTAGGAGCTTTGTCGGGATCTATTACTCCCTATTTTAGCTTGTTAGCTGTTATGCCACGTCAAGACATAATAACTGGCAAAGAAACCTATAATCAGCTCCTTATAGTTACCGCTACTGATCTCTAAAAAGTCTATTCCGGCTCTGTAAATAAATTAAAGCTATTTATGGTACTCTTTAAGAAACAGGGATGATAAGTAGTTAACTAAATTAAACTTAATTCCGATTGTAAAACCAGGAGGTACGGCCTTATAGATAGCTTAGATAATATTAATAATAATTTTCACCTAAGCTTTAGGTATTCCTCTATATTTATTAGTTTACTGGTTATTCTTATTAGTTAAAAATTACGATAGAAGATATTTATACGCTTTATAAAGCTTAGTCCCGTCGAAACCTATATTAGCCACTAGCACCGCAGTTAAGACAAATCGATCTTAAACATTACAGATCTTATAGGTCGTTATAGCTCTTAGTGTACCGAAAAGTAGTTTAGATATTATACCGGAGAATATACCTTTACCTGGACGAAGGGGGATTATATTAAATATTAGTATCTTCTTGAAGAAACCCCTTGTACCGGCGCCAGCTAGGGACTGCCTGCCAAGATAGCTTATCTAGACTATAGCTACACTGCCTTCACTGTTATATACCGATACCTGCTTTTTCTAGTTGCTAAGAAGCTAACTCTATCTAGGGAATTATTGTTTGTGATGTGTCTAGCTTGTCCAAGGTGGCAAGGATCTACCTGTATATTTCCTGAGTTTTCTTTTTTCGTTATCGGTGAGGCAACTTAAAGTAACTTGCGTAAGGGTGGTATTACCTGTGATAATCAACCCCCAGCCTCCGTTTGCCTAAACTTTTTAGGCGGAGACTACTTTGTCTGTTTGCAGATAATTGCTATGTGCTATATCTTTTGCCATGGTAGCTTTAGCTAGTCGGTTAGACAGTATTAGGCCGGACCCGAGGGTGATCGGTTCGGCGATTGCAGAAGCTATGTTGAATCAGCATTAGTCGTTTGGTTCGTCGTGAGCAGGTCGCTCCGTTATTCATGTTCCTAGTTATCTTAATGTAGTAAGAACTTTTGTTATCGTAGCTTCCCAGCGGTAATGGAGGGGATCTACTAATCATCTTACGAAGCACTAGCTCCAACCTTAAATCAAGGGACTCGGTACAACCTGGGTCTTAGGGTTAGGGTTAGGGTTAGTTAGGGTTATTATACTGGGCTATTAGGGTTAGGTTTATCTTTTATATCTATGTCGAGTCCCTATCTATGGTTGAGTCCCTACTATTATATATATAATCTAGGTCCTACTTTTCTATAATTATATACTCTGTCTAAACTTATTAGCGATATAGACCCTAGTCCTAATTATATATATAATTAAGTCTTACTTTTATTAAGTAGTTAGAATTCTCTTTTAAATTCTTAGTTTATATTAACTATTATACTTATTCTTTTCCTCCCTATTTTTATTATTATTATTATTATTATTATTATTACTATCTTTCCTATCCTTATAATATTTACGGAGACTAAACTATTAGTAGATTAGTACCGTCTCTGTATTAATATTGCCTTCTTTTATAATATCTAATTCCTTTATAAAACCTTTAGGAAATATATAGATACTAAGTAGTTCTAGAATAGATATTTTCCGTAAGCTATTTAGATTACTGTCTGTAACTATTTAAACCCTAGGGATCCTTAAGTCTCTAGAAAATTCTTTTATATTATTACTATAAAGAAAGGGCTTTAAGACGGGCTAGACGATATATATATATAATACCTCGTAAATATTTAGTAGGTCGGGAAGCTTATCTATAATAGTAAGTACTATAGTATAGAACTTATCCTCTTTTTTAATATTATTAAATAAATAGATCTTATTATAGTATATGAAGAGGCTTTTAGAGATAAAGATATAAATGCTAACGTTAAAGATATTTATTATTACTATTAGTAGTTACTAGGTATAGATCTTTTTAGCTAAGGTACCTTTAGGAAGATTAAGTTTCTTATTAAGATATTTAGCTATTCTCGTTAAGAGTATTAACCTTATGTTAGTATTTATTCCGTTTTTAGCTAAGAAGTCTTTAATATCTTTATTTAACCTTATTACGGCCGGACTTAATTAATAGTCTTATTTATAAATAAGTAATACCTTTATATTAACTAGATAAATATTATTAATTATTAATATATTAGGGTTATTATATTAAGTAGCTTAAGCCTAATATATAGTAAAACTAGATAGTATTGCCGGACTGCCTATATAGATTTTATTTATAACCCTGCTTATATTTTAATTAAGGTCGGTAAGATAATATTATAAATATTAATTATAAAGGTATATTAGAGTATTAACGAGCCGTTTCTAGCCCTGGCCGTTAAATACCTTATATAATACAGTAATGTTAATAATATAAATCTCTTATAAGAATAGTCTGCTATTAAAGTCCCTTTTTTATAGCCTTTAGGTAATAGCTAAGGTATTAAAAGCCTTATAACCCTCCTCGGGGTAGTTTTTAAGTTTATTTTTAGCTTATAGGGCCTTTATTAAGGTTATTAATTTATTATCCCTGCCGAGTCTTTACTTTAATGCTTATATATTAACGCCTAGCTATATTATAATGGGTTTATTATTAGTTTAAGGGGCCTATATAAAGATTAGATTTGCCGGTAGCTATAAAGGGATATTACTGTCTTTATTATTATATTAATAATTTTCTGGTATTTAGGTAGATACCTAGAAAAGCTAGGTACCTTTTAAGGGTATACTTAATAAGAGAGGAAAAAGTAGCTTTTTTATATAATTTATATTATAATAATAGCTATCTATCCCTAACTTATCTTCTTTATTACTAATCTAGATATAATACTTAGTAAACTTATAGGCTAGATACTTTAATATGCCTTTTTTAATAAGGAATATATATTACTAGCTAATAAATTTTTTAAGCTTCCTTTTATATCTAGAGAGGGTTATAGGCAGATTAGTAATATCCTATTTATCTAGTGTCTTAAATGACAGCAATATATACTATATTAATAAGCTAGTAATATCTATACTTAAGATAGTATAAGAGGTAGAATCTAGAAGGAAGCTAAATGGCAGACTGTAATATACATTAACGTTAGGATCCTATCTAGAGTTAAGTATCTTCTATAAGAGAGGCTAGCTTAACCTAGCCCCTAATGCATTAAGGTTATCAATAACAAATAAGCCTATATTTAAGAATATTAATAAACCCTTATTATATCTAAGAACTATAATATTACTGCTGTCTAAAGTATAATATATAAACAATCTGAGCCTCCTAGGTTAAGATCTAGATATATTAAAAAAGCTATTAATATAGTTAGGTAAGTAGGTATATTTTTTAGACTTTACAGTAATAATAAAGGCCGGGATTATTATCTTTTTTTTACTAGTTAGTAATATATTATTAATCTATCTTTTAAAAATTATAATTTCTTTTTATAGCCTTTTCCTTCCTCTTATTATAAATAGGGAAGAAAAGGGATTTAAAATAAAGCAATAAATATATTTATAATCTCCTAAGGCTACTAGGGTCTGTTACACTATAGTCTCTACTTAAACAATCTAGATTGGTTTTTTTATCTAGAATAACCTAGTTATAATAGGGATATAGATATTTTAAATGCCAGAACTAACTGCCTATTATATATATAATAATATACTAGATCTAATTAATATAGAAGGAAACTACCTAAGTTATATTTAATTTAATAATAGACTTAATACTATAGATATATAGAAATTTAAAAGAATATCTAAGGTCTTTATTATTTATAAGTTTATTTTGTTATTAGCTATCTTAGACTTAACCTAGACTATTTTTATAATAAAGCCTAAATAATATCCTAGACTAGGTTAATAGCTATTATTATATATTAAGTATTTATATTACTATTATAATTATAGCTTTAAAGTACTAAAAAGCTAAAGGTATATTAAGAATATAGTTTAAAACTAAGGATTACTAGGGAAGAGGTATTTTTTCCTCCTGCTTATCTATATCTAGTGTCTATA